TAGCTCCAGCTCCATCTTCGAGGTACCTGCATCAAGGCGCCAACTTCACAGGTTAGTACCGGCCTGAGAGAGAGAGAGAGAGAGAGTTCTTCTTCTTCCTCTTCTAAGTCCACCATCTCTTCTTCCCCTCTCACCACCTGACTTCTCAGTATCAGCGGACTACGACAGAGAGAGAGAGTTGTGACTTGAGACTTGACGACATTGGATCCAGACTCAACATTGGGATTCAGACATTTTGACGAGGGACTATTGGGGCCTGTGCCGAAGACTTGGTGTTGACGACATTCCCATCTCCCCCTCTTCTTCTTCTAACCCCCCTCTTCTTCGTCTGTGTATGGTTGGGGCTGGCGCATTCTTCCTGTGTGAGCGCCAGACCCCTTCACACCATGGAGTGATGATGATGATGTATGTTCGGGGCTGCATTGCAATATTGATTGTTCGGATCATTGGTATCTAAGTCTTCCGCTACGCTATCTTGTACTTTGTATTGAGAGGCCGGTTCTTGTTCTGGTCTGCACCGTTACAGTATGCAACACCTTATGAAGGTTCCAATCTATTGGGGGGTAGTGGTACCTGTTGCTGAAAGTGGGTGCAGTGCCCCATCTGCGTCTTGCACCCAAGCGGTGCGTGTGAAACAGAACTCGGTAAGACTCCTGTGCCTTCGTCATTGGTGTTTGGGTTTTATTTTTAGTTTTTCATTTTATTTTATTTTTTTACTTTTTTTTGGATAAACCTTCTGAGGTCTGTATTTCTGCTTTCATAAGGGCGACAGCCTTGAGGTTTGAGGTATCAAATTGAAATGATCGCCCCCAGGTATGATGATATGATCATCTGATTCCATCTGGACTCGAACTCAAGCCTGTATTTCAACAGCTCATGGGTATATCAATTGAGCTAGGCCAGCTGTGGTGTTTGAACTTTTTGTGGCTTTTATTTGCATCTGGATTTGCCTTCTTTGCTGCACAAAGTGCCCTCAGACCTCCCCACTAATGCCTCACCCATCACAGGTGTGCCATCTCCATCGCTCGCTTCCCCGCCCGACCCTGTCATCCTATGCTGCAGTTTCCATTAAAAAAAAAAAAAAAGGTCTGAAAAACCTTTTCTACTTTACCATGCCATCCTAACACAGAGAGGTAGTAACAGCTAAGTTGAATAAACAACAATATTGAGAATTGGACAACAAAAGACGGGGGGAGAGGGGAGGTATTAAAAATCAATAAAATAATATGAAAATTTTGTAATTTACATTAGAGTAATGTAAGCCAGAAGAAAAACAGTCCGAAGAAATAGAAAGAGGACTCAGGCGTCATGTAATAATAGTATTATAATTAAAATACCCAAGTTAAAGATAGACGTAGTCCTTCGCGGCATATGTTAAAATTGGAGCGATAAACACAAGATTTTTTTATTTTTTTTTTCCCCGGACATGGAGAATGAGCATGGCACCTGTGCAAAGGATGGCATGCATAAATATAGAAAGGGGGAAGTACGTTTATGTCACATGGGAGTTCGTAATGGGCAGAAAAAACAGGCATCGGCGTCTGTTTGAGGGCCTGAGTTCGAAAAGGCATTCGTAACTCAGGTCGGTGGCGGTGTCAGGGCAGAGGTTTCATTAAGGTGGTTGGTTTTTTTTTGTTTTTTTTTTCCTTCGGTCGGTCGCGTCGCGCCGTGGCGGCAAGGAGAAAAAAAGTTTTTTTTTTTGTTTTTTTTTTGTTTTTGTTTTTTTTTGTTTGTTTGTTTTTTT